GGCGCCTTAGCCAGTTGAGCTATAGGCGCCGAGCCTGTACTAACATTTTTGATCATTTCTTTTTCATTTAAACTTTATAAGGTGGTATTTTAAAAATTTGGGAGAGAGAACAAATCATATGAAAGGGCTCCTATGTAAAGGTTGTCAGCAATAGGGTTGGTGATGGGGTCAACTTAAAAATGTAAACTATTCTCCCTTGAAATGCATTACCATGTATGAGCCTCGATTTTTAACTATTTCAAAACTGACAAAACTCAATCTTTCAAAACTGCTAGGTACAGCAGTTTCTAAATTAAATAATGGTGCTTCCCCAAATTGAGAACAAAAAACATCTTTTTTGAGGGGGCAAAAACAGGAAAATTAATTTAATAGGAAAATTAAATTTGTTAATTTTAGCTGTGCTATGTTTTCTAAACTAGTAAGAGTGCTATAGCACTGAAGAAAATTAAAGAATATTATTAAATTTGAAACTTAAAAGAATGAAAATTAAAGAAATTGGTTTATAAGTGAAATAGGCAATTGTGGAATATCAGAGAGGAAGTATACTACATTTACTTCAATACAAAGAATCAAATTTGTGGGCTTGTTGGAAAATTTTTTAATTTATTCTGTGAAATAAAAAAACATCATCAGCCCTCCAGCTGATTAAATGGACCCCCTTTTGGCCAAGTGGGTCCCAGAAACATGCTGATACTGAGTTGCTGGCCCTGGGAAGGGAAGTCAGCCAAGCCTCCTCCTGCCCCCTCCCTTCCTGGAGAGGGTCCTTTGTAACTCACAAGTCCAGGGCTATACAGGGCAGGGCCTGAACCACACCTGCAGGTCCTCAATTTAGTTAATAGATCACCTGAGTCTGGGTATATGTCCCATATATGCCAAGTGACTTGTCTCTGATTAATAGACTTCCTTATCTGAACTTAAAACGTTCCAAGCCTGTAGACAAAGCTTCATTTCTTTAACCAATTACAAATCAAAGAACCTTTAAAACCATCTATAACCTGTAATGCCCCACTTTGGGATGTCCTATCTTTGGAGGCCAAACCAATGTGAGCCTTCTGTGTATTGATTTATGACATAACATGTAATTCCTATCTCCCCCAAATATGTAAAACCAAAGTGTAACCCCATCATGATGAGAACACCTGTTCAAGGCTTCTTGGACCTGGCTCTCCTGGCCATGGTTACACACACTCCACCCAGAACAAATCCCTTTAAATTATTTTACAGAGTTTGGGTTCCTTTCCATTAACAATTCCTTATGGCTTCTAGGAGGAAACCAGGGGGAATTTTGGTCTGAAATATGACAACTTGGTTTATAAATTATTTTACGTTAAAGGCCCTAGCTGATCGCCAGACACTGAAAGAGGCTTTTCTCTGATATTCCCACATGCACCTCAAAGCTGGACCTGCCAAGCAGACTCACTTGCCTTCCATCCCCTCTCTAAAATCTAATTATCTTTCCTAAAGAAGACAGGAATGCAACCACAAATTAAAGGACTTTTTCAGAAGAGGATTATCTCTCCAGCTCAATTAAATTCCATGAAAATAATTTACAAGTTAATTTCTATCTCTTGGGTCCATTCATTCTCCCTAATAATCATTTACTATCCCCTACATTTCCCACCCCCATCCCCCGTGAACGATGGTACATAAACATCTGAACCATATTTGGGTTTGGGGTAATCACTCCCCTGTAATTCACCCCCCATGGACATTAAATAAATTTTGCATGTTTTTCTCTCCAACTCATCTACACCTTTTAAGTTCATTTCCAGCAAACCTTCAAAGGGCAAAGGGGAAGCATTACCTCTTAGACCCTACACCTGCATTAATTATAATAGTTATCACTGGTTCAGCAAACTTCTGGTCCTGAATACACAGAGGAAACAGAAGAAAGCCTCCCTGGTAAAAACAATCCTCAAATAAATACCATGTTTACTCACTAACAAGCTGTTATTTGTGAAGGGCAAATATCCCAGGAGGATTCAGTCTATCTACAGTCCTACATCAGTGAGAATTACTCTTACTAGTTGGAAAGCTGATGAAAGACCTTGCCTTAGAGAGAAACTCCAGTTTCTGCTGGTAGCTGTGCAACTTTGGGCAGGTTAATTAATATCTGAGATCCTCAGGCTCTGCATTTTTGACATGGAAAATAAGAATATCTAGTAATTACAGTCAGAGAGAAAGAATTCAATTGAATAATAGTATTACGATAGCCTCTGACTCTTCTTATTTACTGAATGAGATTTATATACCAGGCAACATGCCACATGCTCCACAGACATTATTTAATTCTTGGTTTCCATGAGATATAGAATATGCATGAGTGTATTCAGCCAAACAGAAGGTTTTGAGAACCAAGAGTCAATGTAAGGACACTTCAATTTGTGACATAAGACCAGAAAGACTAGATGGAGAGCACTGGGCCAGAGCAACAGTGGAACTATGGGAGCAAAACCTGGGATCCAGTTTTTATAAAGGTCTCCATTGCTCAACTTTAGCCAGAATGGCCCATTCTACTCCAAAAGCTTGATACAAGGTAAGATCATATAAACACAACTTAATACTATGGATAATTTTAATGAATTCTTCTACATTTCCATAAATTGCTCTTTTCATATTTTTGACAATATTTGCAAATTAAAAAGACAGATAAAATTCACAATTACAAAATTTAAAAAAAGAAATAGGAAAAATGTCTCACAATTTTGCCAAACCTCTTAGCAAGAATCTTGTGGCACACGTATTGGGTTGCACTATATGAACGAAAAAAGATGAGTTCTATATTTAAAACCTAAAATTTGTATGGCAAAAAAAAAAGAGGAAGGAGGACAACATTTCCTATCTGAGCTAAACTTATTTATTGCTATTAGAAAAGAAAACAACAATATTCTAACAAACTCCGTTTCTATTTTCAGTAAAAGTAAGTTGAATATATAATAACATAGCAACTTCAAACCTTGGTCTCTCTTTTGCATTTTCTTGTCTAGTTACTTCAGTTCTTGTCCATAAAATATTTCTCAAAAACAGCATGAACGTTCTTGGTTCAACACATATTTAATTTATTGAATAGGATTTAATTAGGAGCAGCATTTAAAATACAACTTGACTTTGCTTGTTTTACTTCTACCACTTTTGAATTAGAGGGAGAAAAACATCGCATTAAATTTAGGTAGTGAGCAAAAAAGAAAAACCTAATGAAGGTTGGGGAAAATTAAAAACTAAATTATTCTAAGGCCGAGAGTGAGCTGTATTTCTATTTACTTGAAATACATTTCAAAGCTTTTCTAAGAGTTTTATCTGGAAAAGTACAGGATCTCTGAAGAATAATTTTAAGAATAGCGTCAACTAACTGAAACTCTCTATGATAGCA